ACTTGATACCGATGTTATTTTTTCTATAATTGTATTATATGCAAATTGTTGTTTGTCATTTAGGCATGATGCACAAACGTTGCCTCCTTTGAGATCCAAAATTTATTATTTCATCTTCAACCATTCTTCTTAATCTATCATTTTCATTTATATCTACATTGAATGATACAATTTTATAGTCGTTTATGTGTTTGTCTAAGGATTCTAAAATACAGCCAATATCCTCTAGAGCCCGTAGTTCAGCAACATGTGAAGGTATATTTATATGTACATAATCATCAATTATATAATATTTGAATTTATTTCACACTAACTTTGGATTATTAAGGGTGCAGAGCACAAGAAGAGTAGCAAAAAGACGTCTTAAACAAATAGGCATTTCATAAATAATAGCTTCGGATAGACATTATTCACAATGGTTATCTCCACTCAATAAACCATGTAGAAGTGCTGCTTCTCAATACGTGACAACAGTAATCCTATTTGAAGTTCGTAAATCTTGAAATGATGTTGGACCTCAAATATGATTCATAAGAATACGAAGATAATATCGTTCTCCTTCAGATGCATTCACTGTAACAATTCGTCCTATAACAACATGTTTCTTTTCGCGAGTCCAAACTTTCTTGTTCGTATTCCAAACGAAATGTGTTGAAAAATCTCGGTACAAAGGTGTACGTGCGAACTCATTTTCTTCATTCATTCGAAAGAATTTTGTTAGCATTGTTTTTCTTGTATTTTCATTTTGAACAACAGTAGATAAATTATCTTTATTGTCGTACATTACTTGCTGATAATTTTCGATATGAAGCTGTAAAGAATAGACTGTCGGACAAATTTCTGATATATTGAACGAGAAAATCCTCCACATAGCTTCTGGGGAGATATCCATCTAGCAGATTGATAAGCAAAAATTTCATCTATTTCTTTCTCTATTTCATTCGTGTGAATTGAAAAATTAATACGATCATGTTCTTTATAAACATACTTGTACAAATATTTTATAGTTTTGATAGAAGAACATACTTCGACATTAATATGACAGTCAAATTTTGCACTTAAATAAGGATTGTATGGTACAACCCATCGATTGTCTAACATTTTGCCTCTAACTCGAATAGAAATATTAGTATCACAACGCTTATACAACGGATATGAATCTTGACCAAATATAGTAATATTACAAAAATCTCTAGGGTATTTATTTTTATAACCTTTATTTCTCTCCATGCATATATTTTTCGGATTCAAGTTTTCACAAGGACCATGCATGTTGTGTCTAACAATAATAGAATGAAGATGAGGTTATTTCGTTTTGTCAGGAATTTCACATGACACAATTCTATCAACTTCTTCAGGACAAGTGATTTTATTTCTAGAGTTAAATATTAACAACATATGAGCATGAGGAAGTTCTCTTTTTTGAAATTCAATCACATATATATGTGCAATAACAGGCCCTAAAATACTTGCTTTATATAAATCATTTTTCAATTATTCTAATTTTGCTCTAAATATACGTACAATTAAATCAGGTCGATTTTGAACTTCGTCATTATTCTTTAGTTGTTGCTTAATCTCTGGCCAATTTGGATTACATGTTATAGTTAAAATATATCCTGTTTTTCATAATGTTGTACAATGGTCATTCCATCCATATATTTTCTTAGCATATCACAAGGCCCATGTGTAAAAGATTGTGGTAAAACAAATTTTCTTCCAACTTTACATCCTCTAGTTTCCCCCTTTTTTACACTATCTACAATACCTTGATAAATTTCAGCACGAATTTGTTTCTGATTATTACGAAAATATCTACAACATACTGTTGAAATAATTTACCAGCGTGAAGTAACACAGACTTACCAAAAGGCCTAATTTGTAATTTATATGAATAGTATTCTCGACAAGATACTTGAGTGCGTTTCTTCGCTTCACTGAACACTACAGAACCCAAATACAAACCAAATTCAACATTTATTTATAAGATAAGATACTAAAAAAATATAAAGAATTCTAATAGAAGATATATTTGCAAACCTTCATTCTCTTTTTCGATAATTTCAGTTGCAGAAATAGCCGTGTTAAGAATAACATCAGATGTCAACATATGTTGACGCTGAAAGTATATACTTCTGCATTTCTCAATGCCTTCATGCCAACCAGATTTTCCATACGAAAACAGTAACGGATATTGCAATGGATCATAACACCCATAATAGTAATGAACTTTGTGTGAATCTTCAGAATGACCATATATAGAAATGTCACGAGTACGAATATTAGTATTTTCATTATCTTCGACCCATATAGCAGCTACTTGAGATGTTGTAGGAGTATTGAAAACTCTTTGATCAAGTCCTGGATCGCATCGTATTTGTATTTGACGATTATGCAAGTTAGTGACATCACTTAATGACCTAAAAAATTTACTATATGGATTTGTTTTTAAGATTTCAATTAAAGCAATTAAAGTAGATTCAACAAAGTTTGATGAAATGTTCATATGATTTTTATCTTCATTTTCTGTATCGTAAAAATATAATTGCATATAAGAAGATGTATTATTTTTCGGCATAAGGTCACTTACATAATGATGTACTTGTCATTGAACTCTAAATGTATAAATACCTTCATACGTTTTAAAAAGTTCCTTATTGTACTTCACACCAAATGAAGTGAAAGCAAAATCATTATTATACCCCCTTACAATTTTTTTTAAATTCCGTACAATGTAGTTCTTTAGAAATAAATAAATTATATAATTCAACCGGTGAGTCACATATAAAGAGTTTAACTTTTTCATGAGAACAATAAAAATCCTTACTTTCTCTATAAAATTTGCGTGCATTACAATGTTTACAGTAGCTGAATGTTGGTAATACATATGCAGTAGATGGTATGTTCAATCCTTTGAAAGTTTCTTCTAATTCAAAACTGACAATATTATTCATTTCTTGATCTAAAGTTGAAGCGTAAGGATGTTTATGCATTATAGATTCATCTAAGTGGTGATCGATAAAATCATTCTTTTCAAATAACATAGGATCACTTCTCCTTTTATGATAATCACTGCAATTATTTCTAAGTCTTTTTCGCCTCTCTTTCTCTTTTTGAACTCGTTGTTGACGAATGAACGTTCTATACGACTCATTTCCACTTTCGGATGCAATGTCAAAGTTAACAATAATACGGTCTTCATCAACAAACATTTCCAAAATGTACATTATAATAGCAAAAGAATTATTGTAGATTTCAACTGTAATGAAAGGTGCATGATGTAAAAAAATTGAAGAGCATTATTAGCAAATGTATTAAACCATTCACAAACGAAAACTAAACTAATTAGCTAAATTAATTAGTTACAATAAACTCTTAAAGACATTAAACTGTTCAAATTTTCTAACAATATAATAATTATATAACATCAATTACATAAAGATTTAAATATTAATGATAACCAAACATATGTGGAAAAGCTTTCAACAATAGAGAAAAATAATTGTAAAAAATAATATTAAAAAAATAAAATATAACTATAAAAATAAGTAAAGTAAATTACAGGAATAAATAAATAAAAAATTCTTTGTCGACATACAAGAACAAAATTATATAATAATCATTCCAATACTTTCGAACAAAATAAATAAATTTATATAATTAAAATTCAAACAATATATAATTAATTTTATATATAACATGTCAATTTATATCTGTATTATTTATTTTGAGGAAATTGTAATTAATCGTAGATATTTCATAATTTTTCTTCTTCAGCACATGCATATCGGCCTCATTAGTATGTGTCAAAATATTGTTAAAGTGACATCAGAAAACTAAGATAAATTGTTAGTATACTGAATAAACACAATTAAGAAAAAATAACCAATTACATGTGTGAAACCAATACTGATTATAAAGAAGTGACTATATATATATATATATAGACACACACACACACAAAGAAGTATTTGCGCTCAAAGAATACATAACCATGAAGTAAAAAATTATTTAAATAGCATTTAATGAAAAGAGTGTAAAATATATACAACAACTTATAAAGAATCAATTAAAATCATAAATTTTGTAATAAAACTTACCCAAAAAATACCGCTGCAACAACGCAAATGATTCTACAAGAATGATTAGTTTTTTGCTGCAACAACTACCCAAAAACATAACATCCAAAGACAAGTTACAGCTTGGAGAACTTCTACTATAAAATAAAAAACCAAAAAGGGCATAAAGAATCCCTCTTTTTCGAATAAAAAGAAGAAATAATACATAATATCGTAACACGAAAAAAAAAACAACAATAACAACTAACTAACTTAAGAAAGCTCGTTACGATACTTCACGTCCCAACTATTTAATTTACTTACAAATTTCTTGTCCTTTCGTTTGAAAGAGCGAAATAGTGTCTTAGTTTTGTTGGAAGAAGATTTACGAGAAAGTAATAATACAGAACAATTTTCACTTTTATATTATTTCATTTCTGGAAGGTACAACATTTAACAAAGTCAGAAGATATTTTTGAAACTAAGCTACAGTAATCGACATTAGATGGTTGAATAAAATCAACAAAGCAGCAACAATTAATGCAATCAAATTTCATCATTATCTCCAGGGATTTTTTTTTTGGCATGAATAGTCAACAAAGACAGCAACAATTAATACAATCAAATTTCATCATTCTCTTCAGGGATTTTTTTTACATGAATAGTGTATAACAGGTTCACCTACAATACAAAAAGAGATCATTGTGAAACTTCTGCCTCAAAGTGAATAGTGACGCAGCCATCCTCTTTTTTAATATAAAGGAGGATTTATAGTAACTTATTTATTTTCATATCAATATAAAAAACTATATAAAAAATACATTTTTATGTAAACTTCATGTACCCCAAACAGGTTACTCTGACCAATCTCATCTATATCTCTATGACATTGAGAGGCGCGCCAAAATTATCTATAGACCAACTACAGAACAATGGACCAATAGAATTCTCCCACTTGTCCATCTGACGTTCCGTATAAACCATCTCAAAGACTCCAATGTTGTTTCAGCAACCAATTCATCGCCCAGACCCTGTAACCAATCTTCAATTGCCTATACAGACACATCTGTATACATACTGCATACATATATGCACGGTCTAATTCAAGAAAATGGAATCCCACAAAACAAAATACTCCAATTCAGTGGAGGAAGATTACGATATTAATCAAGATCAAGCTGCTGTCACGAGACGCATTCAAAGGCTGTCGTTGCACCTCAACCCAATATCAGAACCCCCGGTTTCTTCAGACCGACTGCAGCTGCTAACATGCGCTGGGCGTGCCAAGATTAACGTGAGCGATGAGCAGTTGGCCAAGTACTTGCGAGGGAAGCACAGGGATATACAGGAGAGAGTATACGAATACTTCAATGCCAAGCCTGATCTTCAAACGCCGCTGGAAATATCAAAAGATGAACACAGGGAGCTCTGTATGAGGCAGCTTGTGGGTTTAGTCAGAGAGGCTGGCATTAGGCCTTTTAAGTATGTTGTGGAGGACCCGGTTAAATATTTTGCGGTTGTTGAGGCCGTGGGCAGTGTGGACATGTCTTTAGGGATTAAGTTGGGAGTTCAATACAGGTAAATTAATGCCCCCTTTTAATTATACTGCATATCTGTGATGTAGTTTCACGATGATGTACTTGTGTGGTGCCGAATTGAATGATTTGGCTTGATTTTATGTTATTTGATTGATATGGTTTTACGGACTAATATTGGGCGAAATGGAGTTTGTGGAAAATCTTGATATTTGGGAAGCCTTTGTATTCATAAAGCTATATGAATCTACATATATTGTGGTTTTGACATTCAATTTTCCCTAATTGCATCTTTGCTACACATTACTAAACAGAATTGGACAATGTAATGAATAAGATTTTAACTTATATCTTCTTCTGAACTGTGCAATCCCACCCGATCTTCCACCATACAGAGATCTGTCTTATGCAATTTGGTATTAAGCACTCGTGTGCTTTCGTGGATGGATGAATGAGTAGAGTGACTTCTTATGTCATAGAATTGATCCTCATATTTCATCTAGGGTATAGGGGAAGAAAGAGATAGATCACTGTCAAATAGCTATTGATGTTAAATGGCAGAGGTTGATTGCAGTGCATGAATATGAATGCAGCGGTTACAATGGGCATAAGTGTTGAATGTGGATAGTAAGTTCTATACCTAATTTAAAGATGTGGCTACATTATTCTTTTGTTCATTTGGTGAGAGTGTGATAAGAATGTGATTTGGTGGGAGAGACTCATTGTGTGATCTTGCCATGGAATTAGAGGTAGATTTGAATTTTATTAGACCTTTGACTACTGATTTTAGTTTTGGTATTGGTCAGTAAAGCTGTCTGCATTCATTTCTTGGTTAGAAAAATAATTTATAGAGAAGATGAATTGTCTAACGTCTTTTGGTGCTGACTATTTAAACCATGAACTGTTTAAATTTGCTGCAAGTTGGAAATTTGAATGGTACATTACAATTTCTGAACGAGGAATCTGTAATGCTGATATTTTATATTTTATAATATCTGTCTGTATCGTGGTATTATTGAAACCGCTTGCACTTTTTTGCTGTCTGCTTCTTCCTGGAAAATGTGCACAGTCCTAATTTCAGGTGTGCGTGTTTGAGACAAGACTTATACGTTAAAAGTACAACAGATTCTGACCTTTGTTGGTCTTAATCGAAAGGACTACTTATAAATTTAATGGTCGAAGAATCCTGATGCTAATGGTACCAATTTAATATTCTACTTTTGACTGTAGAATAAATTTGCAATGATCTTACTATCGAAGCATAAATCTATGCAAGCCCCATTAGAAAAAAAATGAAGTGCTTGAAAATTTATGTGGTTGCTTCCTTTGAAGCATAATTTGGAATGTAGAAGTTAATTACACATGATTTCTCCAGATTATCCAGCAAGCCAGAGGCCCGAAATCAAGGCTGTAAACATTTATCGTGTTCGTGGATATCTGAAATATGATGTGGATGCTTAAAAGAGTTGCTCAAGCTTGCATGCTCATAGATGATGGCATAATCGTTAGTTCTTGGAAAGAAAAATACAAATATCCTAATCATCAACCATTTTAACTTGAATCATGCTACATGTACAATGATGGTTGACAAGGTTAGTTGACAATCATGATTTGGCATCATCATATTTTTCCATTACAAAAAATTTTAAGAACTGTTTTTTAAATCGACTTTCCAAATTTTGCTACATCAAACATTGTCGACCATCATTGTACAAGTAGATTAATTCTTTTAACTTAGCTGGCCATATTTCGTCCAAGTATAGAGTCCAAAAGTGTGTATTAATTTATGATATTTTTATTTTTTTTCATGATTCTGATCAGACATTGAAATTAATGTTTCTTGCTCTGTATTACTTTTTCTAGGCCCTTGTCATATTGTAGAAATTCGAAATTTCTAAACCTTCAAAATGGCATATATTTGATTTTTCTGCAGTCTTTGGGGAGGCTCTGTGCTCAACTTGGGCACTAAAAAACATAAAGATAAGTACTTTGAAGGTATCGACAACATGGACTATCCAGGTTGTTTTGCTATGACGGAACTTCATCATGGTATATTCTTACTCCTACTTTAATGATGTTTCCCTCTCATGCGTATCTGCACTCACTGAATGGGATACTTCACATATATACTTTATTACTTTAGTACATCCCTGTCGCTAATATAACATTTCTTCGAACTCGATGAACTGGAGCGAGACGTGCTTTGCATGTTAAATAGAAGTCAGTACACTCGTTCTACCAGCTACTGGCTTTTAGCTAGCAAGTAGTTAAATGTCGTAATGTATCTATAGTTTGTCTATGGCAATTAGAACGCTTCTAAAAGGATTAAGAACATATTATTTAAGACCTAGGAGTAGTTCGTAGAATTTTGATATAATCAATGATAAGTAGCAATTTGTAACAGGTTTGGGATCATCTTGATATATATATATTTTTTGAAATGGTCCTGTTTCTGATATATGTGTTGGATATTTCAAAAAGGTTCAAATGTTCAAGGCCTTCAGACCATTGCAACTTTTGATCCGCTCAGAGATGAATTTATTATCGACACGCCAAATGATGGGGCCATTAAATGGTGGATTGGAAATGCTGCAGTTCATGGAAAATTCGCAACAGTTTTTGCCAAGCTGATGTTGCCTACTCATGATACAAAAGGTGTTTCTGATATGGGTGTTCATGCTTTCATAGTTCCAATTAGGGATATGAAAACCCACGAGGTATTACCTGGTATCGAGATACATGACTGTGGCCATAAAGTTGGGCTTAATGGAGTAGACAATGGGGCATTGAAATTCCGTTCAGTAAGAATTCCCCGAGATAATCTTCTCAATCGATTTGGAGATGTCTCAAGAGATGGGAAGTATACTAGCAGCTTACCTTCAATCAACAAAAGATTTGCCGCCACACTTGGGGAGCTCGTTGGAGGACGGGTGGGTCTTGCTTATTCTTCTGTTGGTGTCCTCAAAATTGCTGTCACAATAGCTGTAAGATATTCTCTTCTGCGCCAGCAATTTGGTCCTCCAAAGCAACCCGAGATCAGTATTCTTGATTACCAATCTCAACAGCATAAGCTAATGCCAATGTTGGCTTCTACTTATGCGTTCCATTTTGCCACGTCGTATTTAGTCGAGAAGTATGCTGAGATGAAGAAGTCTCGTGACGAAGAATTAGTAAGTGATGTCCATACACTTTCTGCTGGACTAAAGGCATATGTCACTTCTTATACTGCAAAGTCTTTAAGCACTTGTAGAGAAGCTTGTGGTGGTCATGGTTACGCTGCAGTTAACAGGTTTGGCAGCTTGAGGAATGACCATGACATCTTTCAGACATTTGAAGGGGACAACACTGTGCTTCTCCAGCAGGTTTTTATCTTGAACTGTACATTACTGGCCTTTATGAAGTAATAACAATAAGTTAAAATCTTATTTGCTGTACTGTCTTGTCCAGTACTGGATGAAAAACGAGTCCTTGGTGTTCTGGATGCAATTTGAAAAACTCATCTTGCTACGCAGGTAGCAGTTTACCTCTTGAAGCAGTACAAAGAGAAATTCCAAGGCGGGACACTCACGGTTACTTGGAACTACCTCAGGGAATCCATGAACACCTATCTCTCACAGCCAAACCCTGTAACCAGTAGGTGGGAAGGTGAAGATCATTTACGAAATCCAAACTTTCAATTGGACGCCTTTAGGGTGGGTACTTTTGTAACTACTGATGTCAGAAGTATAAATTAGAGTACTAGAAAAGTGCTTATTGTTTTTAAAATTTTGTTTGTGACGACTTTTGTTGCAGTACCGTACATCACGACTGCTTCAAAGTGTTGCCTTTAGACTCCGGAAGCATTCTAAAACTCTTGGGGGCTTTGGTGCTTGGAATAGGTGTTTGAATCATCTTTTGACACTTGCAGAGTCTCACATAGAATCTGTTATCCTGGCGAAATTTATTGAAGCTGTTCGGAGGTGCTGCCTACTTCCATTTTTAGTTTATTCCTTTTCCTCTACATTATTGCTAACTAAACCTTTGTCCTTTTTCTCTGCTTCAGTTGTCCTGATGCGAGTTCTCGAGCTGCTCTGAAACTTGTTTGTGATTTATATGCATTGGATCGGATCTGGAATGACATTGGGACTTATCGCAACGTGGACTATGTTGCCCCTAACAAAGCTAAGGTAATTTAGTGTATCACATGATAATATATATAAATTAGATATCTGCATTGTTTACCTAATATGTAGATAAACTGGTAGACGAATTTCCGTTGTGCCAAAACTCCCTTGTTGAAAAAGCAGTAAGGATGTTTTATAGGACAAGGAAGGATCATTTGGATGCTTTTTATCAAAAGCATTCTCCATAATTAAACCACAGGTTCAAAATCCCATCCGATCACCTCATATCATGTAATTTTAGGTTGACCTTTTCCTCCAAGATCACCATTATGCTAGTCCAATAACTTTTCTAACCAGAGAACTTCGTTAAATGTGACAAAATCATCTCAACTGGTTTTCACGCAGTTTTATCTTCAGTTGACAACGTTTAACTAGCTGGTGAATTTACCCACTTTTTCCTCTGTTTATTGAAATCAGTTATGATATAAGATGCATTATTTTTCCTGTAACAAGTAAATGTTGAAGGTGAAAATGGCTATGTGCTTTCTGGTTTGCAGGCAATTCACAAATTGACGGAATACCTGAGCTTCCAAGTGAAGAATATTGCAAAGGAACTTGTAGATGGTTTTGAACTCCCAGATCATGTGACACGGGCTCCAATAGGGATGCAGGCTGCAGAAGAAGCTTATTCACAGTACGCCCAGTGTGCTGGATTCTAAAATTTAAAAGTACAAAAGAAGGATGTGTTTTGTTTTGGAAACTTTCTTCCACAAGTAAAAATTGATTCTTGTGACAAAATTGTGGTCCTCTGGTAAGAAAAAACATATTATATGATTTCAATGAAATCGTTATAGCATTAGATTCTGGCGTTCTTTTGTGAGACAAATGCCCAGCAGGTTTAAGAGCAAATGTACAGTGTTTGTCTAAATTAGCTTTATCTTGAAAGCATCTGCTTTCTTTTGCAAACCAATTACCGATGAAAATACGAGCATGTTTGATGTAAATTTTTTAGAACAAATTTTGTGGAAGTGAATTTTTTGAAGCTGTATGGTTGAAAAGTAAAAAATAAAAAATTATGGATTCACGTTTAAAAATGTGATTGAAAAATGGAGAAAAAAAATAAATTTTGGAGAATATCTACCAAACATAATTAAACTAGAGAGCCGCTTTTATGTATGCAACAGCTATAATAAAACCAGTAACATGCACAGGGAGAGGGGGGAGACGAAAGAAAGGGTTTTGTGCGTTAAGGAGTCTTTTGCTTCTTCCCTTCTGTTAATGGTATTTCGTTGTGAAGATTATATTTCCGTCATCACTGAGGAAAGGGGTGTGAATAACAGTAAAGAGAGAATTTAACAGACAAACTGTGAGCTCACGAAGAGAACCTTTGCGATAAAAGAGAACGTCTAGTCGCGATCTGTAATTTACTAGCTCGCCTTCACAAATCCATTTGCCATAAATTTTATTATCCTACAACCAGATTGTTTCAGAAAAAGAAAAAGCTCTCCAAACTTTTGAATTTACAAATATCTACTTCAACAATCAACTCGATATTAAAATGAAACTGTAGGTCATTTCAAATGCTGAAGGATCTTGGTGGGGCTTTATAATTGTCATATGCATTTCGAGCTGTTTCACATTTCAGTCGAATATCGTCACACATTTTCACCGAAGCCTCGGAGAATTTAGTCAGCCAGTCAAGAACCTTAGTCAAACTTGTCTGTATGCAGCTTAAATTTGAAGCTCGATCTTCACTTTTCCCCTCATCTTTACTCTCTGATTCTTCATTATTTTGCAAATCATCTGCCGTTTCCTTTTTGTGGGATTCATCCGGCTGGTGTCTAACTGAACGTCGCAAATCAGATAGAAAAGCTTTGATTGCATCACTAACTTCTTCAGATGGCAAAGATTTTATGCCGGCTGACCAGTCTCGACAGAGGACGAATATAGGTGGGGCCAGAACTCGACGAGGGGAGAATGCTCTTCGGCCTTTTTGTCGCTCTCGTGGTTGCAAAATGCAGTTCTGTAGCCAGCTGTTGACCGCTTCCACATAAGAAGTATAGCTGTTGATCCAATCTGCAAAACTCAGGCCAAAATACTCGACCTCATCCAGCAGCTGATTTATAATCTGTCTCCGTGGTTCCCCATGAACAATTCCAGCGGAAGCTTTTGCATGATAAGCTAATGAGATAGTTATGTACTGGTTATGATGGCATTCAAGCATGGCTTTCCACATCCGGGCCAATCTGCACAGAATTCAATGGACAAGGACACAAACTTGAGCATTTACACTAGACCGTGTTTGGTATAAATAATACTAGCAGGAATTAAGTAATAGCATTGGAGAATATTTTAACTTTCTTTTTCTTGGCTAATATTGTGTAATCCACCTCAACAGGCTTGGCTTGAAGAGAAAAATCACATTAACCAGGTGATGTGAAATTACGGTACCAATACTAGAAGTCTTTAGGGTTTTAGGAAATAGAAGTTTTTCTCACCCCTGAATAAGTTCTATAATTTGCGGGAACAATTCTTCATCCCTCATTTTCTCTATTCGCTTTGATATCGAATCGACAGCATGAAGTGCCACTCTAATTCGTGAATGCAGATCTTTCACCACTGCCCGAGTTCTGTCAATTGTTTGAGGACTAAGATCCTTTGCAAATTGGTGCCGTAGCTGGTCGCACTTGTGATCATATTCCTTCCGGATAGACTCACTCGCCTAGGTAGGCCAAAGAAACAGACAGAAATTAGTTGACATAATAATGTGAGAACAAAAAGGGGTAACACATAACAAACGCTACTAGCAATGAGCAATATGCGTTCTTTCACCTTGAGGGTGCAGAACTCTTTGAATCAAGTTCATTCCTAAAAAAATGGTCAATTTAGTTAGGAGTAACTTAATTATGGCCAAAAAATTGACTCACAAAGGAAGCCATCTCCTTACCAGCCCATCCAACAAGTTGTAACCCTTGATGACGACCAACAACAAAATATGCCTTATTCCCAGTAACTTGGGGAGGCTACATGAATCATTTTTTCCTGCCTATGTTGGATCCATCTACCGGAAGACCCAAGAAGTCAACTGTTTAGCTAGCACATTAGCAACGATGCTTTTAGTCTACCTCTCCCTCTTCTAATGCATTCTAATATGATTGAATCACTATTGTGAATGGGAGTTCCTTTAGGTTTACTTTCGTTTAGGTTTACACAACACTTTCTCCAATATTCATAATTGGTGCTTATTTTATAATATTATCCTTTGAGTGATTCATTCCATTTCATTCTGAATTTGCAAGCTTTGTCATGATTTCCCATTTGGTTGGCTGAACAAGTTTGAAAATGCTTAATGATTTGGGTAGTTAACTCCAGCATAACGGCAACATTGCAACCATAATTCTCACAACCCCCATAAGCCTCATGTTTCTTTTCACATTTAACATTGTGTAATGTCAATCTTCACACTAGTTTTCCATCTCAAAATTGTTTTCATAAAGATAATCCACAGAATAAGCCAATTTCATACTAATTAGGTGAAATGAAACCTACCCCCTGCCCCCAGAAAAAACAAGAGTTAGTATGAATAGACTCCTGGTTTTGTTCTGGGAACCAGAATGGTCAAGGTAATGGAATTTCCCCTTCCTTCAGGGTTTGTCAACAATCAATGTAAATACAAATGATGACCTAGGCAACATAGATCTACTGATTAACATAAAGTGATATTCTACAAGTTTCACTTGAGCTCTTTAATGGTGGTTCATTTTACAACCCCAATTTCCTTTAAACTGTAACGGGAAAATTGATGCATACAAATAATAATATAACAACCTTAAGACATATGCTACAGTTAGTCTTTCATGCCATTTCTTTGAGGTGGCTTATATGCAGCATTGTCATTTTTGTCAGAATTGAGAAATACTATGTCTCAAATGTTTAATATTGTCCTAGTTTATTACCTGTGTTTACTATTTAGGCAGAATTCCAAATATGGAGAGAAACATCAAAAAGTGAAGAAAACAACATGCACTTATTTTCACTGAGGCAATATTAAATCAAGTACCTTCACTTCATCATACAGCTTTCTCTCCCATGCATAAAGTCTCTCCAGTGTGGAAGAGTGACTTCCAGAAATCATGCAGAACTCTTCAATGAAATCACTTCCACTGTCATCATTGTCATCCTTTGTGGCAAGAGGACTCCTAGAGGAGGAAGACCGTGATGATGTTGTCCGTTTCCAGGTTATAACCTTGGTCACATGTTCAGATCCTGCACATTGAAAATTGACAGAAATGAAGATTTATCATGTTAAGTTTCAAACTAGGCGAGCAATTCTCAATACTTTAGCAACCGACACTGTCAGTGTGCTATCTTTAAATTCATGTTAATTTTCCACCTAAAAATGAAAATCAAGTAAAGATGTAGCAAAACTGATAATACCCGAAGTTTTAAAGAAGGACGATGAACAAAATGCATAAAATTAAATGTTGATCAAGACACAAATTGAAAGTACTGCATCTCATTTAGACAAAACAGGTAAGTAGTAAAATGCTTAAAAGTTAATGAGAACCAATGAAATTATTAAATAGCGGTCTGTGGTGCTAGGGTACAAGCTGGTACATACCATCAGGGACATTAGCACCTCTTCCTTGACAACAGGCAGCTCGAAAAGAGGCTAAATAAACAGAAGATGATGGTTTACCTGTTAATAATGCCATTAGGGTTCCAAACCAGCACACCAGAGTCAGAACAACTAGAACTTAAGGTTCACAAGATAGAATTACATTTCAATAATTCTCAATTCAAAAGTGCATTATGCTCTTTCTTGATGTCATCAAAAAATTATTACCTTTTGCCTCATATCCGATACTGATTTTGCTGGATTCAAGCATCCTCGATACCTCTTTCCCTGATTCAGATGCTCTAAAGAACCGGTTATCAATATCCTTTATGCTAGAGAGAAAATCTTTAGCCCTGTGTGTTATATACTCTGAAGGATCTTCCCTTTCAGCACATACATCCTTCTCTACTGCAGATTTATTCATCTTCAAATTATACTGTTCTAAAGGATCCTTCCCCGCCACATTTCCTGCTGATCCATTCACTTTTAACTCATTGTTTACATCTTTCACTTCCCCATAGACTCTTTGCTGACTACTGCTTTCATTCTTTTCGTATATGGCTGAATTTGAATGGTTCACGACCAATTTACCATGTCCATTTCTTGGAGTCTTTGACTTCGGTGTCATAGGCCCTTCTTGAATCCCACTAGTGTTATCCAAATCAACACCCTTCTCACTAAAATTCCCATTTATTTCCACATCATCAAAGTTCAAATTCAAGCCATTCTGCCCCACAAATCTAAAGCTCTCACGCTCATCAGCAGGGTCAAAAAAATCCCAAGACCCTGGCTCAGGAGGCGGAGGTGGAGGCATTGAAAATTCACCCTCCTCGACGTACATATTCCTAGGCGGTTGACTCAGTCTGACAGTCAAAGCACTAGCTCCACCTGACCTCATGTAACTAACTCTAGCTGTAGGTGGCGATAGCGGGCTCCCATTGAGCACTGGAGAATCTAAAGTGCCACCAATATGCGATGGGGAAGGTGACAAGTATGAAGAATGTGATGGAGTTTTATCATTTTCAGTGGCTGTAGTTGATAGAGCGGACTCTATCAAGACTTCAGCCTCAGCATATCTTCTCAGAGCAATGCCTATGTTTCTTAGAGACTGAACGTAAGAAACATGCGCAGCTGCTAAACCATACCTCGAATCAATGGCTTGCTTGATAAATCTTTTCCTTTCTTTGCACAGCCTTAAAGCATCACTCCTCTCAGATTTTGAATTTGTAGCTCCCATTTCACACTCGAAATTTAAAAACACACTCCGCAAAATTAACCACTTTTGTGTTCATGAACTGAACCGCATTCGCAATCTCTCGTCAAAGACAATATTTTTCCCCTAAAACCTCTGAAAACCCAATTCATGAAATGAACCCCATTTCTATTTTACAATCAAAAGTTAATAGCACACAATTCTCTAATAATAACAAAATTTCTCAAAATCAAAGCAAAGCCAAATCAGAAAAGGAGGGCAAAAATCTTTTTCGCACGAGAGAGCAGTTTTGAAAGAAAACAGAAAACCCACTTGAGTCTACCACTGCACTGAGATTTAACACTGAGAAAAACAGATGAAAATGACAACAAATTCTTTTTGTTAACGGGTTTTATTTCGACTCAAGAAAAAAGGCAAAGAGGATTCAGAAAAATGCAAAACATGAGTAGCAAGAGGAAGTCATAAATAAATCGTTGGTTATAAAACAAAACCTGAATCGATTGGTAAATCAATGGAAGATTTGGGTACACAATCAATCCATGCACATTACTTCTGCTTTTCTTAGGGCCCAAAAGCAGTTTTTTCTTTTATTTTTTTAGCTCAAAAGATAAAGAATGGGGGCAATGCTGAAATGATAAACAAAAAAAGAGAGAGAGGGAGAGAGAGAGAGAAGAAATACTTACGGTTGATTCACGCAGGTAAAGAGCATCGGAATGTGTGTAAATGATTCTCCACATTCATTCCTGTTCTAATCTCTTTAATTAGGGAGTAAACACAAAACTCACCATTTTCTTGCCCATACTTTCTTCACTTTTTTAAGACCTTGTTTGGCAGAACTAATTTCTTTATTTGTTTATGATTTAATTACTGTCATATAAAGAAAGAGGATTTTTTTTTTATATCTAATTTGCTCACGAAATTACAAGAGTATTTGATAGGCATTTTTATGTAAAAATACATTTTAGAATAATAAATTGATGTGAAATATGTGATTGAAAAATAAGATATTTTTTTATTCACGTGTAATATTATTTTAATAAAAGATGTATGGTTAAAAAGAAACAACTGCGACAATTGATGCCTAGCCTAGTGTTATGAGAAATGTGCAGATGACAGAATTGTCCCTACGTTTTCCAAAAGCACCCTCATGTAACGGCTCCTTCTAGTGTTGGGAAATGGTCCCTAACCTATGGGATTGTTGTATAAATAGATCTAAACTTTCAAAATTAAGCAGAAACATTCCTAACATTTTCTTTAATGACGCAATTATACTTTTTGGATAGTTTTCATCTACTTGATCGTTAAACATATCAAAGTTTTGATATAAAAATTAAAATGCCCTTATTTAGATAAATAAATAAAAACGAAATAAAAGAAAAATACACTTAGACATCAATCATTCGTATATATTGAAAATCATGAGTGTCTCTATATACTAGAGATCAATATTATTTATATTGAAAGTATTTCGATGTCTTCTTCTCAACGCTGCGTCATATTAATTAGAGTTCATATCACTTGTATTAGATGCATTTTTCTATAAACATTCCATTTCGCTTATATGACAAAATTTTTAAAGCAATCATCGGTTATATGAGTTTTCTTTTTGTCATATTTTTAAATTTTATTTTTTTCACTTATCTCATTTACTCAAATCGATCAAGTAGTCGAATTCTAAAGAAAAAAGATAATTTTATTTAATTAAAAGTAACGACATTTAAGTCAATTTATCAAATGTTTGACATTTTTAATGGTCAATTGAACGAAAATCATTCAAAAGTATCGATTTCACTATTAACTTAAAGGTCAAGGATGTTTTGTCAAGATTTAAATGCTAAAGACCATTTACATAGAAACCCCATTTAAAATGGAGTTGAAATTTGTTATCCAATTTTTATTGTTCATCAATTAATTATTGACATATCATTTTGTCAATAACCCCACATAATATGGCAATAAATGATATGTCACATAGATTGGGGGTTATAATCTCAACAAGGCTAATAGCATTACTAGGGATGTCAATGAATTGAACCGAAACTTAAGGCTCGAGTTCAACTAGAGTAAAATAGTGCAAGCTTTTTTTCAAGCTTGAGTCAAACAGAGCTTTTGCTCGGCTAAAAAATCTAGGCTCGGGCCTTTTCGAGTTGAGCCAGGCTCGACTTTTTCCCCCGTTTAAAGTAGCATGGTGCTACATGGCTGTTTTTTTAAGGACAACACTCAATTGCCTTATAAAAGGCAGCGTGTTGCTGCCTTTAACCGTTTTTTTAACAGGCTCGTAAGCTCAAGCTGGCAAGCCACACAGGTCATCTCGGGATTGGCCCGACACCCCAAAATGGGGCTCGATTTTATCGAGCCTCGAGCTGAACCGGCTCTAACTTTTCTCAGGTCGAGTCACGGGCTGTATGAGCAATCCGATTGCTATCCCTACGTTACTCATTAAAATTGATGACATCTTAATTTAAAATGACATGTCAATAATTAATTGAGTAGATAGTAAATTAGACAATAAAAGTTGAATAGCAAATCTCAGCTCAATTCATCGGGGACCATCTGCACCAATTCCCATCTAGTGCGGCCTCTTTTTTCCATTTTTTTATTTTTCTTTAATTTTCCGTTGAGAAAATTATTGGGCTGTGGTGGTGGGTCTTGAAAAAAGGATTAGTGGGAGTTATTTCTTTATTAAATTAGTGTTAAATGTTTACTCGGTTATCAACTTATAAAGTATGTCTATTGTTTCCTCTATTTGATAAATTTATAAATAATTTATAGATAGGAGTAATACTGAATTTCATATAATATATAGATAATAATGAATAGTAATTATAAGTGCATGATTGAAATTAATATTTAATTTGACTGAATTTATAAATCACTTATAAATTTATATCCAAACGATACAGTATTAAATTTATTATACATAAAAAAAATGTATACACTATAATGTTAATTCATATAAGTATTAAACATTAACTTTATAATAAAGAAAAAGCTAGCTTGTCCGAAAAAAATGTGATCGAGACTTTGACAGCCTCTCACAGTGGTGAGCCCTAGGTGAATAAACAATTTCAATAATAATAATAATAATAATAATATAAAATAAACAATTTCAAAAAAAAAAAAAAACAAGTGGCCTCATCATGTTGTGAGTATAAGTCAACCTTTTGTCAAAAATTTTCTATCACCGTAGCTCCGTTCTTAAAATAATTAATTTAACACATACTGACACATATTATTATATTTATACAATAGTACCTCGGATAATTGTTTGTTCTTTTAAGGTTTGTAGTCATAATTCATTGAATTGAATATTCAAGTAGGGTTGGACAAATCTTCCGAATCGTACCGATCGAACTGAATCGAATCCAACGATTCTTATCAAATTAAATATTCAAACGGGTATCTGAATTGAGAATCGACGGGTACGATTCGGTTCTCAATTCTAGACCAAGAACCGAATAAGAACATAATCTTTCTAATTTTTTTTATATTGAATAAATCAAATTATTTTAATTTTAATTTTTTTCTAAACAAATTAACAAATTAAAAATTTCTAAATCCAAAATTTTGGCCCAATAATTTGTTTCATTTCTAATTTTTTAATTTTTGACCCAATTACCCATTTTATTGTTTCATTTCTTAGCCCAATAAGATACAATCCATTAAATAACTCTAAACACATACGCTAAAATGCATAACGCTGTCTCGACTCTCGCACTCACTCTCGCAGCTTCGCTGACATTCCAAAACCTATACAATCGTCGACCGACGCTATGACCTCCAATCGAAGCCGTGACCTCTGCCGACCGAAACTTTGACCGTAGCGATCATTTGAACAAGGTAGTCTACTAGTCTCTGACATTTCAAAACCATTGAATGTGTCATTAGTTGTATTTATATAATATTGTTATAAATGTTAAAAAATTTAATTATAATATAAAACTGAACCGAACCCGAACGGCTCCATAATTATATTTGGACCCGACGGTTCCATTTACTAGATACCCAAAAATTTTGGTTCGATTCTAAACCGAACCGAACCGACCCGCGCCCCACCTCTATATTCAAGTATATCTTCTTCCCACTTTTAGATGATTAATAAATGTCACCATGGAATGTCACCGTTAATTTGAACTTTGGCCTTTTTCCAGTGGCTTTTAAGCCACAATTTCATCTAATTAAAGAGGCATTCCATATTATTTCAACAAGTTAAAGAAAAGTATAGCTTTTAATGAAGAAAATTTGGAAATACATTACTTGGTTTTTGAAGACTTGTGAGAGCATTTTGTACTTCGATTAGGAATCACGGTGATTTGAAACAAATAAATACATAAATCATGGATTTGACAAAGTGAGATGTAGAAAGCGGAATCATTCTCGAATCTCATGAGATTAAGTTAATGTTTGGTTTAGATAAAAATCAAATTTTTAAACCCCTCTTTGTTTCCCATTATTTATCCATTAAAATGAAAAATATAATCGTTATCCATCACATCAAGCCATCATATTTAACTTTCTATCACTTGTGTAGGGTCCGTAACGACTATATTTTTCATTGTCATTTTTACATTAATGTGTATCAAACGAAACCTCAGTAAATTTTGATAAAAGTCAATGGAATATAAGGTTAAGGTTAGAAAAATTTGTTATAGAAGAGTTTTGTAAGAAAAATTATTTTAAATAAGTTCTCTAAAAATTATTTTAATTAGACAATATATTTATAAAAAATTATCCAAATATATTCAAAATTAACTTTTTAGTTTTAGTAATAGCTTTTCACTTTCAAAAATCGTGTCAAAGCGGCCCATAGTTCAACAAAACAGTCACTAAGAGATAATTCTTTTGAAAGTGTCGAGTTAAATACATTAACTAGGTTAGACAATACTAGCTAAATTGAATTGGAGAATTATTCCGATTCACACATTACTCGTTAAATAATTCATAAATTTTAACATCGACACCAATTCATGCTCTTGGTCCAAACGCCGTCAATTTTTTGCTTGGGATTGAGAGAGATACAATGGTTAACATTGTCGCCAGAGTCCATCGATGCTGACTCGTTAACGGCGTCTCTTCCATGACTGTTAGGTCAATGAAATTAAAACATTTTACACTGTACCAGCACATCCATTTCTCAATACAAAATTTCACTGTGCCGCATATATTCTTCCATTGTGATGTCATGAGCTTTAGGACGTAGCTGAGCTCTATTACGTGACTAATGCAGTGATAAGCAAGGGGAAAGAAAAAAGAAAAAAAAGAAAAATACAAGAAAGAATTTAAGGGCCCGTTTGGTAGGGATTTTGAGAATTGATTTTTTGACCGTTAGAAGAAAAGTGGGGTTCACATGTGAGAGAAAAAGTCAAAAATTACGGCTTGAATAGTAAAATAACGGTCAAAAAATTAATTTTTTAGGATAAAAAATTCCTACCAAACGGAGCCTTACTTATTGGATAATTAACTAAAATCACATCTCACTGGTTATAGTGGATACCAAGAATTGATTTGATCAATAAGTGAGACCCATTAGATTATTATTTAGGACTACAGTTTGTGTTACAACAATTTCTACTTTATTGGAAAAGGTTTGTCACAAGAAAGCTCGAATATAGTAAACTATCAATCAATCTATTTATTTAACCATTTATATGCTGATCTCTTTGGAAATAAGTA